TAAAAGTCCTGATGTTATGGCATCTTTTCTAAAAGCAACCCACTTCATTCACTCCAATAACAAGCTTGAATATCACGCGTTTCCTCACTCCTATAATAATACCCAAAGACTCAAGATTTCAACTTCAGTCGAACCTCCCATGGCTACCCTCAGCACCACACCAACTGTTGGACTTTCTGAAACTTTCACTCGATTGAGGAAACAAGGCAAAATATGACTTTCTGTCTCCTCATTTTTCTTCTTCCCAAAAAAAGAAGATTTTTTTGTGGGTTGTGATTCCTTTGTTTTCTATAATTCTTAGTTTTTTTTTCGTGTTTACGCTCTTGAAGGTTTATTAGAGTTGGGCATTGGTTAAAAGGATGATAATTTGCTTTAATTGGGTTTCCAAGAAAATCTTGGATTTGATACTTAGGTGTGTGAGATTTCCAGTGAGTAATTTCAGCATGATGTATGCTGAAATTACTTTCAACAATCTTGAGTCCAATGTCTCTCCATTTAACGTTATTGTTCCTTTAAAGCTTTCTTTTGTAATCCGATTAGCCAACCCGTCGATGAGTGTCGATTTTCCCAAACCCGACGCGCCAAGAACGACGACGATTTCTCCGTCACGCGCCTCGCCGGAGATGTTGTCGATGAGCACTTTTGTTCTTGTGAACAAGTTTTCTCCGGCAACCGGCTCTCCGATGGCTGCAGCGGTTCCGGCAACGGGTTGCCAAAAGATCGTCGAAAAAGTCATTTTCCGGGGAACTTTTGCACTGTATGTGAGATTATTGAAGGAGAGTACAAAAGGAAGAGAATTTTGTTGAATGACTGGATCACTCATATCAAGAACTTGATGTACCGGAGTTTCGTCGCCGACGACTTCCTTTCTGACATCACCCACGCGCTTCAATAACTGACCAAGAGTCGGTGAACTATACGCACTGGTCTGTGACATTTCCATGGGTTGTACTCTTTGATATAAAATTGTAGACTTTCTCCCCCTTGCAATGTATTATCCGCTACTATCCGTGACATTTGTTATCACTCTAACAATGTAAATTTTTTTTATCGAAAACCTCGATCGAAATATTTAATTCCGTCACTTAGATGCCATTAATTATCAATAATGATTACCAATTATAATATTACATTAAATGCCATTAATTATCAATAATGACTCTATTATGATAGAAACAAAACGTATTACCTAGAGATAGCTATAAAAGGAGATAACTGCTCATTTGTAAGGACACGAAATACTATTGGAATATATTGAATTACTTTGCTTTATATTCATCTATTATTTATCAATTATTCTTATTTTTATTTGATTATCAGTAGCCCGAGTTCTTCTAAAATACGCTTTGATCGAAATCCCAATTTTTGGTTAAACACCGTTCACGAGCACACACATATGGTTCAGTTTATTTATTGGGCTAAACATGAAAGCCGTCATAATTTAATGCTAATCAATTATTTGTGCGTTATCACCTTGCAGTTATGTGAAAAATGAACTTATAGCTATGATCTTTGATATGTATATGCTCTTATTCCAGGTACATTTAAAGAAGATTGGTGCATTAGAAGGCAGAGATCAGTTTAATACCAAGTGAGCATGTCAGCTGTTGATGAAATATTTCCATGGAAAGACGGATGATTTAACTCCAGTTCGAGTATCTCTGACTGTGGTTTTTGAGTCTTTTATCTAATCTGTTTTGATATCATGGGCATCTAAAGAGCATAAGATCCGTGTTGCCGCTAGGCATCAAAGTCATATTGTTTGACAGATGGTAGTCGATAATATATACAAATAAGAAATTTCAGTGGACTTTGATTCTGGAGTTCTACATATTTATAACGATTTCTAAATTTTGTCTTTTGACCTACTTGTACGAGGAGAGGATATAAAAAAGTCTTTGAAATAGACGTTTGACCCTCATTAATTGATCACTGATTTGATTGACCCGATTATTCTTGCCATCATTTTGCATGATGTTAACTTTTCCATCAAATAGTCATAAGTTATACACTAAACAATTACTGTATTGACTTTGAAAAATCACTTTCTCGGTCAAAATGATCATAAAGACATAAAATACGAAATTTGAAGGATTTCTAAAAAATACCTCAAAAGAATAATTTAGGCACAATAAAATATACAACAATGGCTATTTGGAAGAACCATTGTAAACTAAAGAGATAAAGAGGTAGGAGGGTTTTTCTATCACTCATAAACTCAGCAATATCACTATGTCATAACTATCTCTCAACCTAAGAAATTATTACTTTTCTATTTATAATTAGAGACGGATCCAAAATTTAAACTTTATGGGTTCAACTTCTAGATTTATAATATTGAACCCATTATATATTTAAAGTTATGAGTTTCATCAAATATTTATTGTAAATTTAGTAGATTTTTACATATAAAATTATGCTTCGTATCAAAAGTATTAGGTTCGGATAAATTCGGAAAGCCAGATCTGCCCATGTTTATGGTAGTGCAAAACCAAATTTGGCTAGATATTAAGAGATTGATTCTTATATGAATTTGACTACAAAATCTAAGTAGTCGTGAATTAAAGAAACTAACAAATACTAAATTCTAAATTACTTTGAATTATTAATTAATCTTGATTTAATTCCAACAAAATTCACTTTCTAACTCTCCGATAATTATGATTAATTTACTTGAGATAATATTCTCACTTTTTGAATTTAATTAGGTGGAGAAATTCAAAAATTGCCAGATTTACAAGTGGTCATTCAAAAATAGCCATAGTTTCAAAAGTAATTGAAATTTAGCCACTTTTCATGTAAAGATAAATTTGAACGAAAACACAGTTCAAAATTCGGAAAAATACTCCACCATAATATACTGGAACTGGAGTTCCAGTCTAATATATTGGAATTCTAGTATAATATATTGGTCCAACATAATATACTGAAATTTGGAGCACCGGTGCTCCAGTCTCCAGTATATTATACTGGACCCAGCAAAGTATACCGGTCCAACATAATATGCTGGAAGTTCATACACAGGTGCATCGAACTCCAGTATATTATGCTAGATCGGTCTCTGTTGCAGCAAAATAGTGGCTATTTTTCAAAGACTTGGCAAATGCTGGCTATTTTTGAATGACCAGTCCGAAAATTGGCTAAACCGTGCTATTTTAACCTAATTAGGTCGTCAAGTTGAATAAAAAATTTGAGGATCGACACCAAGAGATGTGGACCAGTGCGGTGGAATTAATGATATTATTTCACTCAAAATTAAGAAAAAAGGATGCAAAAAAAGTAGACGATCCCACAACGACGACCAAATTACAACGAGGCATTTATATCTATATCCGCTTTTTGGGTCACGTTTTAATTTATATCCGCTTTGCAAAAAAATTGCAAGCGTACCCACTTTTCGCGCAAGCATACGAGCTTGAAGTAGAAAATGCAATCACGCAAACTTCAGCATGTTTTAGCTGAAATTTTGTTCTAAATTTGCTGAATTTCAGCATGTTTTGGGTGAAGCTTTGTTATGTTTATGATGAACTTCAGGGTTGAAGTTTGTTTTGTATTTGCTGAACTTCAATATTCTAGGAGCTGAAGTTTTTATTTATATTTTCTGAACTTCAGCATTCTTAGAGCTGAAGTTCTAAAACAACAATAACAAGTTGTCATTAAGATCCAGTTTTTATAATGGAATTATCAGAAAATTTGAAAAGTAATACTCCTATAAAACAAGACCATTAGTAAAAGTAACATCTTTCAATTGTTGAACATTGAGAGAAAGCTAAAATGGTCAGCTTTCAATTGTTGAACATTGACAGTATTGTAATTACTCGACGTAGTAGCACCAACAGCAGCAAAAGAAAGAAGAAGAAGAAGAAAAAGAAAATGGAGGAGAAGGATAAGGAAAAAGAGGACTTAAGTTGTTTAAAAAATGGGTACAAGTTAAAACTTTAGAAAAGAAGTATACGTAAAATGGGGGCGACCGTGCAATTTTTACAATTACAACCCCAAATGCAATTACACCAAAAATAGGTTGCTTAAGTATGAATAGTTCTTTTGCCTTACCCGCATCTGAAATTTTTCCTAAATCTAGCCACTTCATTCTTACAGTAGGCCGTACTTATATCAGTAGCAGACCCAGAATTTTATACAAGCGGGTTCAGTTAAAGATCACGATAGTCGATTGTATAAGCACAACAGTAAATAAAAATCGTACACTGTTCTTTTTTTTCCACCAAATGATTTCAAAATGGAGTAATTTATTTAAGAAAAAAGGTTGGGGAAATTTTTTAAAAACTAACAAAGAAAATTTGGTCGTTTAATTTGTTTAAAAAAATTTCTATATAAATTAACAAATTTTTGCAGCAAATTTAGCAATTTTTTTACAAAAAATATTTAACCAACATAAAAATAGTACTATAACTCTAAGAAATTTGATGTACAAAGTTGTTACAAACAAAAACATGAAAAAAAGAGAGTTATAAACTAAACTAATTTATAAAAATTATTAAAGAAAAAAATATTTTACACCAGACTAATTTTATTTGAGTATAACACAAATTAATAATTTCAATGTAAACTAAACCAAATTAAATTAAAAGATTAGAAGTAATTTCGATAAAGCACTCTCATTTTTTTAGCAAAAATTACGAATAAAGAACCAAATTTCACTTTGTTGAAAGGATTAACTTTTTTTGAAGTGAAATGGAGGAGTTTAATAAGAATAGCTTTTAGTGAATTTAAATAAAGAAATAAAATCATAAAGAGAAGCAGGAAAATAAAAACAAAATAGGAAACAACAAGGTCTAACAATAAGCAAAATAATACGTTTAGCAAAAAGGCAACAGTTATCTCGACGCTTTAGCAAAGTTTCCAACTTGCGACCTCTAGGCTTAAATTGAACCCACTTGCCACTGCACCACCGCTTCAGTTTGTTTCAAGTGGGTTCGGTTACACAATATATACGTAGTCTATAATTTTCTGATGAAATTCTCAGGTAAAAATAATTAATTTTTTTATCGAAGTCCGCCCCTGACTTATACGCCGTGCGTCGCAGCTATATCTCCTCATCTCCATTAGCAGAAAGTTAAAGAAAAGTCCTGATGTTATGGCATCTTTTCTGAAAGCAACCCACTTCATTCACTCCAGTAACAAGCTTGAATATTACGCGTTTCCTCACTCCTATAATAATACCCAAAGACTCAAGATTTCAACTTCAGTCAAACCTCCCATGGCTGCCCTCACCACCGCACCAACTGTTGGACTTTCTGAAACTTTCGCTCGATTGAGGAAACAAGGCAAAGTATGACTTTCTGTCTCCTCATTTTTCTTCTTCCCAAAAAAGAAGATTTTTTTGTGGGTTGTGATTCCTTTATTTTGTATAATTCTTAGTTTTTGTTTTAAGTGTTTACGCTCTTAAAAGGTTTATTAGAGTTGGGCATTGGTTAAAAAGATGATAATTTGCTTTAATTGGGTTTCCAAGAAAATCTTGGATTTGATACTTAGGTGTGTGAGATTTCCAGTGAGTAATTTTATCTGTAGCTCCTATGCAAACTATGAAAATTAGTGATAAATGTACAGCAGCCAGCAGCTTATCCCCAAAAAGAAGATTCTTACTGTTAGAGAATTTTCACCTGCTTTGATTCAATTTCTGTTTTGAACATTGATTGAATTGGAAAAAAAACAAACAATCCCGTGGAAACTTTTTATTTTTATGCAATTGTTTGTTACTTTGGTGGGTAGTTGTCGAGGGTAGAAAGATGTCTTCTTTCATAGCTTTTCTGTCAAAACATCGAGCTGCTTTTACCGTTCAAAAGTATTTCTAGTATTATCTCTGGTTTTTTACTTGAAACTCAATTTTTTGTTGCAAAGGTGGCATTAATTCCATATATCACTGCTGGGGATCCTGACATGTCAACAACTGCAGAAGCACTGAAAGTGCTCGATCGATGTGGTTCGGATATCATAGAACTAGGAGTACCTTACTCTGATCCGTTGGCTGATGGTCCAGTCATCCAGGTTTTGATGAAGTGATTACTGCATTTTTAGTCCTAAATTTTTGTCCGTTGCCTCTTGTATATCCTCATTCTTTCTTACTTATCTGTTTTTTCAGGCTGCTGCTACAAGATCACTGAGTAGAGGGACCAATTTTCCCAAAGTCTTATCAATGCTAAAAGACGTAAACCCCATAGCCTCGAATTTCTAGTTAGAGATTAACAAGCTGTAAAATCCCCTGTTAACTATCTAGTGCAATTGTAGATACAAACAGTCCTTGCTAAAAATTACTTTATTGATGGACCTTATGTGACCGACTGGTAGTAATTATGATTTGATTTGTTGTCTGCTTGCTCCAGTCACTTTGTTTATTCTGGTATATGTTGTCAAATGTCTTTTAAGAAATCTAAAATTATTTCTCAATATTTGACAGGTTGTGCCTCAGTTGTCCTGTCCAATTGCCTTGTTCACATATTATAATCCAATACTTAAGCGCGGTACTGAAAAGTTCATGGCCACTGTGAGAGATGCTGGTGTACATGGTAATCTTAGTTTTGCAATGTTGAATTATTAGTGTGAGAAGTGATAGTTGGACAAATTTAATAGACGAGTGGGTGATTTGGTTGAAGCCACTTATATAGCTTGATATGTTGTTTTGACACCAAGTTGATGTTTATTAGTGAAATATTTGACTTAAAAAGAGTTTCTAGTGTGAGACTGCCTGTTCCTCTATGATATGCCCCAAATAACATGGAATCTTCATGTATACCTTTATTTTGACATGAAATTTAGACTTCCACTGATGTGAAACTGGTCTTAGGATTAGATTGCTTTATGTACTTCCCTTTAGTCCATTAACGTTGTATAGTTCAACTTATCTCATGAAGGCTGGATCAATATTTTGTCGCAAAGCATAACCAGCTGCTTGAGTTTCAGCAGAGAATTCTAAACTACTAAGGGAGATGGACTAGATTGTCTAGCATATGGATGATTTGTGGGAACTAATGATTGTTTCTGTATAGTTTTCTTCTGCAGTGGGATAAATCTTTTGTGCTTCTGTTGTTAAATGTCCTGGCATTATGAGAATTGTTTAAAATGAGAAGATTGGTTGGATGGATTGATGACTACCAATCATTTAGCACCTTATAACAGGTTAAGCCTAAATATTTTTGCAAATTTAAAGCTAGTGTTTTAATTTTGGGCTCCTTTTCGCCCACCAGTTGCTGATTAGTTCTGAACTTCTGATAATGAGGCGTGTCTAATCGCAGGCTTTTCTTTCTTCCTTTTCCTTTCGATGTGATATATTTGCACTAAGATGAGTGAATTTTTAGTGTACCCAGGAGGTCACAGTTAGTATTGATTGGTTGAGATCTGTAAGGTGTCAGACTTTTTTGAGGTGGAGATTTTCTACTTCTGGTATACATAAAGGGTTACTTCCCGCAAATCAATAAAAATATTGAGTACTTTATCTAAAGAAATATTTGCACTAAAACGATTAAACTTTATAAAAGTCTTCTTTTCATTTTCCTAAAGAAAAGCATTTCGTCATCCAACTTAGTACATCTTACAATATCTGTTGGTGGTGCCTATCTGCTGCAGTATAGACTCATTGTGAGTAAAAGCTTAAAGCTGTACAGACTAGGAAAAAAAGCTTAAAACAACCTGTGGTTGGTGCACCCTTTATGCTATTTGGATGCGGAATTTCCATCTTAGTTTTGTTCCCACATCTCTATCTATAACATTGTTGGGGGAGATGACTTATACCTTAAATAAATGTTGATTGGTTTGTACAACAAACAGCAACACCTTAGTTCCAAACTAGTGTTGACTGGGTGCTTACCTTATAAAAAAAAAAAAAAGTGTTGACTGGGTGCTATTATCTATTACCTGGAAATGATTGAAGATTGCAGTGGATGAGTTTTCTTTATTTTATTTGTTGCATTATCCAACATGGTGCTGATACTGCAGCCTTCTTTCGCGCCATTGACCTAGTCTTATGTTTTCTTCGTTCCGATTGTCGTATGTCTCACTATGATAATTCTGTGTCTTTTCAGGACTTGTTGTTCCAGATGTCCCTCTCGAGGAAACTGAAACTTTAAGAAAGGAAGCTGCTAGGCATAATATTGAATTGGTTAGTTTTTGTGCCAGATATCTATCTCGATTTCCAACTCTCATGAGATGCCCCAAGGTTTCGGCAAATAATTTTCTTTATTTGTCTGTTTAAAAAGAAACAAATCCTTTACCTCAGTCCTCAGATATGCAGTTAGTTTCATCTTGATATATCTGCTTCGTGATTAGATAGCAAATTTACTTAGTCCATAGTCCACTATGAGTCACGAGATACTGCCTTTATTTTATTTGCTCATTCACATGCTTACATGTGTATAGGACAATAGCGTGCTATCATTTACTAGAAAGAACATTTGCAATCTGGGTGAATGCGATGGATGTCTTTGAAGTTTGACAGATATGGCTTTTCAATTAAATTATGTGGCTATTATTTATGTTGCACGAGTCATGGATGCTTGGGGTGGTGTTTCTTTGTTGGGGGAGGGTGGACTCCTATATCTATATTGATGATAAATCAAAATGAATGATCTCATTTCTGCAGGTTCCTCCATTACAAGAGGTTATCAATTTTGTTTCATTGTTTTGTCTTCTCTTGTTTTTATTCGAATTTCTTTGTGTTATTCTTCTTTGGCAACCTTGATGTGAATGCTTGGTGATATTGCAAATTTTTTCCTCTTGTTTGGATTGAGCATAGCATTTGATCATTCACCTTCATAATATTTCCTCAATGAAAACATATTTGCCTTATCAAAAATTAATTTTTCATTTTTATGTAGGTATTGCTTACAACACCAACTACTCCAACAGTTCGTATGAAGGCCATTACTGAAGCTTCGGAAGGATTTGTGTATCTTGTAAGATATCTTCCCTCTCGTTTAATAGAAAGTTGTCTTAATCATTACCGTTTTTGCCATTTGCTTACAAAAGTGGTGCACCATTTTCAGATTTTGTTCAATGTCTTACCCTCCCTTTTCGTTTCTTGGGCCTTGCTGTGGAATTTATCGCAATAATCTAGATTCTTGGCTGGTGATTACTTTATGAGCATTAATATCAACCTCAAGCTCTATCCCTATACCACATGTTAATGGACTATTATTTTGATTCATGCTTCAGTTTCTAATAATCATAGTTTTGAGTAACAGAATGTAAGGCATTCATGATGTATAGCTAGTCAATTACAACATTTGGATTGAACGGCGTGATATAAATGCATACTTTTAGCAGGGATTGTTGGTCTGCAGAGCTTTGGGATCATACTTGCTGATATTATAGTGTCAACTTCAATAAATTAAAAGAAGCTAAAATCTACATGTACTGTACATATGACATGTGAAAAATTGAACCAAATTTATGGATCTTTTCAATGAAAATCATTCAATTGAGATATACTGGTGAAGATGATAATTTCTTTGTTTCACTTCTACTGTTACTAGTAGAAATTTATTATTTAGTTCTTGTATAGGTGAGCTCAATCGGAGTTACTGGAGCTCGTGAATCTGTAAGTTCGAAGGTTCAATCGCTCCTGATCGACATTAAAGAGGTTCGTCTCATGCTTCTTATAATTCTCATGCCTTCCGTGTTCCTCATGCTTAAGCTAATGCATGATGGCCTTCAAAAGTTGGTTTGATATATAGCTCAAACATATAGCTCTTGGCATATTAGACCTTCTTTCGAAGGACAGCAAGAACATTGAAGGAAAATTCTTTTCTAGTTGCATCTTTAGTTCTGCTTAACTAGCTCCTTCAAACTTCAGTATTTTCTGTAATTAATTGATGTTTGAAACCAGCACTAAGAAGAAGCTGTGATTAAATCCAAAAAAAGTTACAGACTACATGAAACTTGGAGCGAGCTTGTCTATACAAAAGATATAGTCGTAAGACTTTCTGGATCACTTACAATATCCCATTTACACCAAAATGCTACTAGTAGCAAAATACAGTCAGAGCTAACTTTCAGTATTTCTTTCTTTCCAAATACACCACCATATGCAGGCTCGGATGGTATTTCAGATCTTTAAACATTTAGTTAGTCCCCTTCTGTTCCAGCTCATAAGGAATTTAGCAGTTATTCTTGGCATTACCCGTTTCACTCCCAAAAAGCTCATAAACATTCTTCACACTTGTGAAGAGGCAGCACAATGAAGAAAAAGGTGGTTGGTGGGTTCAGCTTCTTTTCCACACAGATGACATCTGTTGACTAGCTAAATACCCTTCTCTGTAGGTAATCTTGGGTCAAACGGCTCCTTAGTTGCCAGCCATACAAAACACTGAACTTTGTCTGGAATTCCATACCTACTTCCAGGGCCAAAACCATTCTGATTAGGGACTCTTAGGAGCAATTCATAGCGTGAATTCCTTGGACTTAACGCAGGTCTGCTGTTTTCTGAAGCTTGATTTACAACAGTGTTATATTCTGCTTTAGGCTAACCGCTTCAGACTCCAAGGATTAAAAAGAATGCTGAGCACCATCCTTTTTCTGTGATAGCTTAGATGTGCTTGGACTAGGGAAATCCGAGTCATCTAAAGTGAAATCTGAAAATTCTTGAGTGGATTTCTACAAAACACATTGTTTTCACTGTATAGACAGTTGGATACTTTGATGGTGGGAATTAGTTACTTGTGTTGGGGTCACTTTTGGAAGTAAACAAAACAAGTTACCTTGTTCTGATTATCATTACTCAAGTTAGTAGGACATGGCTTTGGCCTATCCCAAGAATCTCCCTCTTATTTTTTCCCAGGTTATAGGCCTAAATTATTAAGCGCGTAAGAAACGTGCCTTTGCTCTTTGACAGGCAACATCTAAACCGGTGGCAGTCGGATTTGGTATATCAAAACCCGAGCATGTCAAACAGGTCAGTTTTTCAATGGCTAGGAACAAGGTGTCCTGATAGGTAAAAAAAAAATGGTTATTTACTGTTTTGCTTTGATGCATGTAATATTGCAGGTGGCAGGATGGGGAGCTGATGGTGTGATTGTTGGCAGTGCGATGGTAAGAATATTAGGTGAAGCAAAATCCCCCGAAGAAGGCTTAAAGGAATTAGAGGTCTTTGCGACATCTTTAAAATCTGCACTCTCTTGATTTAATTTTTAGAATCGACGATTTTTTGTTTAATCCACCTTGGCACTTCATTTTTGAAACTCCAGCTCTTAGAAGCAAAGTGATCTTGAAAACAGATTTTGTTTGATTTAAGCTTTAAGATTTTGACAGTCATACTCTAGCTTGTAATTGACGCAGTGTTCTCTTGATGTTTTCTATGGTAATTTAAATTTAATTAGTGCAAAAACATGTTTTTCCCCGAAATTGGCAATACCAGCTTCTCAATGTTGAAATTTCACAGCAAATCCTAATAAATAATTTTGGCAATTCACATTAGACACCAGTTTTTCAGCATGGCAGAATATTTTCTTTTCTTCTCATAAGAATATATAGTTCCTACGATAGAATAAATTAAATAATTCCCTAAAATCTAAGCAGTCAAACTGTCCGATCAGGTTTCGTTCATTAGGATTTTTGTTAACTTTTCTGTGTCTTCTATTCGATAATTCAATCGGGTACTCGTGTCTGCTGTTAAAATAGCACGGTCTAGCCAGTTTTCGGACTGATCATTTAAAAATAGCCAGCATTTGTCAAGTCATTGAAAAATAGCCACTATTTTGTTGCAACAGAGACCGGTCCAGCATAATATACTGGAGTTCGGTGCACCTATGTATGAACTTTCAGATCGGTATACTTTGCTGGCTCCAGTATAATATACTGGAGACTGGAGCATCGGTGCTCCAAACTCCAGTATATATTGTTGGGGTATTTTTCCGAATTTTGAACATTGTTTTTGTTCAGATTTATTTTTATATGAAAAGTGGCTAAATTTCGATTACTTTTGAAACTGTGACTATTTTTGAATGACCACTTGTAAATCCGACTATTTTTGAATTTCTCCCCGTCTGCTCCGTAAGTTGGGCTTTTTCAATTCACATAATAACATTCAATCAACTCTGCTTCTATCCTAAATTTTCTCTGCACATAGAAAATTTATCAACTGCACAACAATATAATAAACTTAGAAGAGAAGAGCTTTTAGACTTGAATCTAGTATTGATATGAAAATAGAATTCCAGAAATTGAATGAAGAGTGTTCCTAAAAGTTTTGCGGACAGAAGACAACTTAGAAACAACCAGAGACCTACCTAAACTACTTAAACCAAACACAAAGATTGCTAACAAATAATGTTTCAAGCTACAAATGACCAATACACTTAAACAATAAATAGAGAGGCTAGAAATTAGAGTATGGAAGGATAAAATGAACTTACTCAAGCCTAGAATATCCTCAAATTTGATTGCTGTTTTGGGAGTGTCAGCTTCTTTTTAACAGTACTAATACAACATTTACTTTTTGATATAAAACTCAATTTGATAGCTGTTTTGGGAGTTTTATGTACTACAGTCAAACCTCTATAACATCGTTTGTTTCGAAATTTTTCGACTTTTATAGTGAATGGCTGTTATACTCCTATAACATTATTTGACATTTAAATATATTTTGGCTGTTATAGACAAAAATTATCCAAAAACTAATTGTTTTTCTTTTATAATATTATATATAAAAAATTAATAAAATATTTAAATTCAAAATCTCAAAAGATATAAATATTTCACGAATTAAATGCTAAAGAAATCTAATACATTATTAAAAAATTCTTAACTAAACGCACAAATATTTAAATTCTAAGGCACACAATTAAAAAATACAAATAAATTACGTTTACATATTATTGGTAATTGTCTAATATAAGATATATCATGTGTACATCTTCAAATAAAAAAAAGAATGATATGCATATCTTCAAAAAGTATAAACAGATCTTTTAAGTATCTTTTGGCCTTTTTCTAATGCAAGATATATCATTGTAGATCTTTAGTTATAAAAATATGTGATGTGCATATGTTCATGGAACATACTGCTATCCTTAAGATAATACATATAGCTATTATAAGTTGTACATTAAAGTTATAAAATATTTGCTTAAATATTTAGAATTATTATTAGTAATAATCATAGAAAATTTGCATGGTTGTTATAGATGGGTAATTTTACAAAGAGCTTACTATCATAGAGATGGTTGTTGCTGTTATAGAGAAGTAAAATATAACATAAAAAATCAGTTCTGAGAAAAACTAGGCTTTTATAGTGAATGAATATTATATATGGATGATGTTATAGAAAGGTCTGACTATATATATTTAATTATGTACTATATTTTACTAATCTCCAGATTTTAATATATTTTTAGCAGTACCAATATAACATTTACTTTTGGGCAAATATATAGACGACCCTTAAACTTGGCTCCAATTTCCATTTTGACACTTTAATTTAGCGCTTTTCATATTGAACACTTTAACTATATTTTGGACTATACCATTCAAACACAATGCATGGCCTGCCAAAGGAGCGTTAGTTCCACACATGGTAAGCGCATGAATGTAATTATTTTTTGCTTAGGTGGATATTCCAATGGTAAAGAAAAAATCCACCCGTTAGACTCACTTTATAACACCCGATTTTCCCATAATTCCTCTCAAAAAGCCCTAATTCCTCTTTCGTCTTTTTCCCCTTTCAAAGTAGCCATTTTCCCCTTCAAATGAAGCTTAGGTGCCCAAGCTTGAATCTTTATCTGATTTCTTCCTCATCTTTCTCGTTTATTAGTTCCATGTCACAAAATCAAGAACTTCTCGCAATGGAATGGATATTTGCCACTGACTATATCATGGTCACATGCAAACCCAAGTCGTTGATTTTATGATTGTAAATTGGTAAGTCGATCGTATTGCTTTTTTTAGACCCTTGAATTTCTTAAAAAAGAAATCTGTTTTTAGATTTTTTCGCCACATTTCTTTTTTAATTCTGTAGGATCGAGGTGGCTGCAAATATTTCAGATGGCATGATGATGAAATGTTCGACCAAGCTAAGTGTCATGACCCAAAATTCTAACCCGGTCGTGATTGCGCCTCTCGTGAGGACAAGGCCAGCCAATCAACAAAACAGTACATCTCTTTATAATTACTTAGCAGGAATAAGTCTAAATCATGGGCAATATAATCTTAAATGCGAAATAAACGTGATAGAACAAGGAAAACCCTCCCAACTCAGCCCGAAATCGGGGTGTCACAAGTCATGAGCTACTACAGAGTTTACTAATATTTTACAAAGTCTGGAATTATCATAAATAACAAAGATAAGGGAGAAAACGGGGCTGCGGACGTCAACAGCTACCTCGTTACTCCTAGTCACCGCTTGGTCTGGAAAGAATCGGCGCTCAGGAGCGAACTCAGCTTTGCCTGTATCTGCACACATGGTGCAGAGAGTAATGTGAGTACTCCGACCCAGTGAGTAATAAAAATAAATAACGACTGAAAACATGAAATCTCATAACGGCATAATATAGCTATATCTCAAGCAGTAAAATCAGTTATACAGTAAAATAGTGAGTATCAGATAATTCTTCTTTTAA